ATAGACTCTTGTTGTTAGAAGCTGCTATACATTTAAGGTCAGTTTAATAATTATGATGACTGAGAGTAAGACATAGCTCTCCCCGCATTTTCACGAGGTGGTATATACATTTGAAAGCTTTTGCGGAATCGCATTGGTCAGGGCCTTACCGCCGGATGTCATCATACAAACACGCTTTGTATGAAGTGCCGAACTACTTTTTTTGGGTCAAGCCTAAACGTCGCGTGAATTTACGTAAATTAATATCGCGAGAGTTTAGCTAAACCTCGTGTGATTATAGCAATCGTCGCACGACTTTAGGCAAACACCGCATGACTTTAGCTAAACTCTGCATGACTTTAGCATCCATCATTGCATTTAGCTAAACTGGCATTACTACAGCTAAAAACCCATGCATTTGGCTTTGGTCGTCGACGTTAGCTAAATATCGAAGACGAATGAGCAACGCGAATAATCGACAGCAGATGCAAAATCTGTGCCCTAAAGTCATGCGCCGATTAACTAAAGTCATGCGCCGATTAGCTAAAGTCATGCAGTGTTTAGCTAAAGTCATGCGGTGTTTGCCTAAAGTCATGCGGTGTTTGCCTAAAGTCGTGCGACGACTCTCGCGATATTACGTAAATTCACGCGACGTTTAGGCCGTTGTCAAAAAAGTAGTTCTGAGACAAACGGCACTTCATAGGCTTTGGCTGCTTGTGGTCTACTGGTTGCACACTCGTGGCTTCAGTTTGGATAGACCACTCGGGCTTTGCCCTCGTGCCCTATCAAAACGGGCCACTCGAGCGCCGCCATCGTATAAACCTATACATACATGTGCACAGATCATCATTCCAGAGAATGATACCACCTACTGGTGTGCTGCTTTTAGACTTCCTGAAGACATCCGTACCCAGAAAAAATATATCACAAAGGTCAGTTCATAATCTTTCTATATTAGTGGCAGCACAACATTGCCATCGAGGCTACACTGTGCAAATACTGTGCACATTATTTTCATTTCCGTTTCAGTTTTCTCCTCGTGTAACGAAAGGCAACGATGCTCACGTTCACCATCTCCTGGTGTACCTGTGCGACTCTCTCAATGAAACACATGTGGGGAACGGAGGGAGTTGTAGAGATGGCGTGGCTAATGAAGTCGTCGAGTGCCGTAGTGGAGTCCTCATTGCTGCCTGGGCAGTTGGTGGAGAGGTGAGATATTACCTACCAAGGAATACTTAATCCTATCGTTTTATTTGCCTTCCCTCATTTTGGAAGTGCATTATTGCCATTGGTGTAAGGCTGTAGTGCGAGGCTGGGTTCGCAATAATATGTCGTATTCCCCCGTCACATTGTGCTGCGAAGATAGAAATGGATTCTATTCTCGTGATGTGGCACGGCGCGGCGGGGAAATGTGACATATTGTGAACCTAGCCTAAGTGTCACTGGTGTTTTTACTCTTCATAGACGTTTGTGTACCCAAACAATGTGGCATTCCCCTTTGGAGGTGAAGATTTCCCCGAGTACGTGGTCATGGAGTTGCACTACGATAACCCAGAATTGAAGCAAGGTATTACTACACAACACCGACATGAAGTTAGTTAGTAGAGCGCTTGCCTATAATGCAGTTTCTTGGGTTAGAATCCAAACCCAGGGTAGGTCAAAAAGGGTGCAAGTTAACGCTTGCTATACATCGTTGTTGACACCACATAGTGCTATTATCATCGCTCTACATACCATCTGGGCCATAGAATTTGGTGTGTGCATGTGGGAGTTGGGAGTGGACTGATAGAGATTTCTCTGAGGACTTACACCTACTGGGGGAGGGAGGTCATGGGACTAACTTGCTGACTTGTACAACTGACACCTGAATAGCAGAGCTCATCATCAATAAACTAAGTGGCATGGATGAAATACTTGTGATTTCACCACGTGTGTGATGTGGTAATCGTAAATGGCAGGTACTGTGGACAGCTCTGGCATGAGACTGTGGTATACTTCCACTCCGAGAGAGCACGAGGCTGGAGTTCTGCAAGTTGGTCACTTTGTGACAGAATATCACATAATTCCACCTAACTCTGAGAACTTTACAACCACTGGTATTGTGTTTGACGACTGCACAAATGAAGTGAGTTTGTTGGAGGCTTGCTGCTAAATGTCTGCTGCTACTATTGTCCATACCTATTACTATTATAGTTCTTTCCTCAAGAGGGAATTCATGTGTTTGCAAATGCTCTCCACACCCACGAAGTTGGTATGCACTATCATTGTCCTATTAACACATACCACATAGCCTATTAATCTGTTTATCAGGTCATGGACTGAATCTCCAGCACATACGCTATAACTCTGAATGTGACGTGTATGAGGAACTGGAGCCAATTGATAAAAACTTGAAGTATGATTTCGACTTTCAGCAGATCAATCATCTAAAGCGTGAAGTTGTTATTATGCCAGTAAGTTATTATTATGCTGTGAAGTGGAATCACTCTTGGTCATCCATATGCAGGGTGACATCCTTCAGCTCAAGTGCTTTTATGGTACCAAAGGCTTCGATAAAGTTACTCTAGTAAGTATACTGTAAGCATAGAGTACGCCTATATATGCAGTGGGACCTCCGAATAATGGGACACATTGGTATATTATAGACATTTTTTGGAGTTCAGAATAATTATAGTAGACTAGTGTAGAGTTTAAAATGTACTAGACTAGTGTATGTTCCGGACACCCTCATTTGGAAGGACAGCGAAATCTGGGCAAGATTGGCAGCAAGAGTGTGTTACTATTCCATAGTCCAACTGTAGTCAAAGCATTGAAGATAGTAAATCCTGTTTATGTGGTCATGGCAAACTCGTCCAAAGTTTGATGTTCCTGGGCGTTACTCCCATGCTTATGGACATTTAGTTTATGACTCTTATACAATACTCTGTACCATCACAACTCCATAACTACAGGGAGGACTCAGCACAAGAGATGAGATGTGTCTCTCATTTCTTTTCTACTACCCAAAACTGGAAATTTCAATTGCACTCTCACAAATCGCGGAAAATGAACTTAGGACATACTTCAGCAAACTTCCGTATGTCTGTCTAGCTACATGTTCTATATACACAATTTTATGGTTTTATATTTCGTATATAGACCAGAAACAGCAGTGAACTTCAGAAATGGACTAAATAGTGTAACCTGGGATGAAGCTGCAATGAATGATCTCCAGCGATTTGCAAATGAAAGCGAGCAATTTGCCTACTGTGGTAATCTGCAGGTACATGTCATAACTATTCTGCTACTAATTTTCATATTTTGATGTATTATTTCTTATTAGGACAGAGGGGTAGTAAAATCATCCAAATTTCCTAATATTGGTTGTCCATACATACCTCCTGACCAGTGCTCAGCTACCCCAAATCCTCCTACCTGCTGTGAGAGGATCTCTGCCACTGAAGATGGAGTGGTTCTGAGAGCCTCAGTGGCTCTCCTGCTCCTCCTCTCTCTACTGGCTGCCACATTGGGATGAGCGTCTACTTGAACAGCACCATAATTTGATGCTTGAACACCATAATATATTATAGCTAGTCTGTTGATGCTGACTACTGTGTATATAGCTATTTTGCTGACTATTGTGTAGCTATTTTTATGAAGGTATTAGACCATGTGATGCCAAGAGAAAAAAGATGCGGAGCTTGTTGAAGCGCGGATAAAAAGCGCTTGCGCATGCGTTATGTGGGGGAGCGGTGTCGCACAATCTATGCGACTAAAAGCTGAGCATCAGAGCATTTACAGGATGATGAATTTCATTTTTGTGCTGGCTTCCTCGGTTATATACACTGGCATGGATGCGCGCACGATCTCAGTAGCTACCCGTTCCAAGCGACGCTCAACACTGCTGATAACGGAGGTCTCTACTGGAACTTCGACAATGCGAAGGAAACGATTTATTTCGCCGTTCGCGTCCAGACCACGGGCTGGTCGGCTTCGGACTCTCACCCAACGGACAAATGCCAAACTCTGACGTAGTCATAGGATGGGTCACTGATGGCGGAGAGACCGTGTTCCATGTGAGTGTAGCTAGCTGGTTGAACAGTACTTACACGACGAACAAAGAGGTTTGCTCGCGCGCTCCCGCTCGCTAATAATCGTACGTGTCTATATACCCACGAATAATGCGAGCTCTAGTGCAGCTAGCTGTTTTTGCCTTGGCACTGAGTCTGGTGCGTTGCGAGCACGATTTCTCCCGCTACTCCTTTCAAACAGTCCTAAACACTCAAGAAAACGGAGGTCTGTACGAACTCTACTGGACGTTCGACAATGTGATGCCAAGAGAAAAAAGATGCGGAGCTTGTTGAAGCGCGGATAAAAAGCGCTTGCGCATGCGTTATGTGGGGAGAGCGGTGTCGCACAATCTATGCGACTAAAAGCTGAGCATCAGAGCATTTACAGGATGATGAATTTCATTTTTGTGCTGGCTTCCTCGGTTATATACACTGGCATGGATGCGCGCACGATCTCAGTAGCTACCCGTTCAAAGCGACGCTCAACACTGCTGATAACGGAGGTCTCTACTGGAACTTCGACAATGCGAAGGAAACGATTTATTTCGCCGTTCGCGTCCAGACCACGGGCTGGTCGGCTTCGGACTCTCACCCAACGGACAAATGCCAAACTCTGACGTAGTCATAGGATGGGTCACTGATGGCGGAGAGACCGTGTTCCATGTGAGTGTAGCTAGCTGGTTGAACAGACTGATGGTCATGTTCACTCTTTGAAATTTGTTTATTGTTCTACACAGGACCGGTTTGCAAGAGAGAGCCGCGCATGCCGTCGAATGGAGGAGAGTTCTCTTGCTTGCTAGACCGACGCACTTCGCGAGGCAGCGTGTAAAGATAACGTAACGAAGCCGCGCATGCGCACTTACTTACACGACGAACAAAGAGGTTTGCTCGCGCGCTCCCGCTCGCTAATAATCGTACGTGTCTATATACCCACGAATAATGCGAGCTCTAGTGCAGCTAGCTGTTTTTGCCTTGGCACTGAGTCTGGTGCGTTGCGAGCACGATTTCTCCCGCTACTCCTTTCAAACAGTCCTAAACACTCAAGAAAACGGAGGTCTGTACGAACTCTACTGGACGTTCGACAATGAAGCAGAGACAATTTCCTTCGCCGTTCGCGTGAATGCCACGGGTTGGGTTGGCTTTGGACTTTCGCCTAACGGACAAATGCCCGACTCTGACGTGGTCATAGGATGGGTCCCTAATGAAGGAGACCCTGTGTTCCATGTGCGTTCCTAGTGCAATGCAAGCTAACTCTTTTTATCATACAGCATTGTGCAGGACCGGTTTGCAGGGGGAAGGGAACCTCCCACAATAGACGAGCAACAAGACTGGGTGCTGAAAGGTGGAGAGGAAGAGAATGGCTTCACTATCCTTGAGTTCAGTCGGAAATATGTCACCTGTGATGGCTATGACCTCCCCATCATGGTACTGTACTCTGCACGATTTACCTGATTGACCTGACAACTAAGAACGTAATAGAGGGTATATAAGGGTGTAGGAGAGTCTGCTATGTGTAGTTAACGTATAGGCGGCGAGGCGGTACGGGATATATATACTATACCTGACGAGGGCGAGGCCGGTATATACAGTTAACAGCCGAGGAGGATTTCCTGTACGCGCTGAGACGCCTGACGTTAACTGATTTGTAGTCCAACTAGCCAATCACAATGCTGAATTTCTGCTGTGTCATCCTGCACTAATGTACTAATGACTGTTGTGTAAACTTTGGAAGCCAGACAATTTGCAGTATGCCTATAGTCTCCTGCCCAGACCCCACCCTCAAGAGAGGAAAAGGGTCTGGTGACTATTGAGAGTTTTCTTGGTTGTGCTGACTCATCATTGTCGAGAGCATGCGCAGAAAAGCCCGTTTTCGTTCGTGGACACGCGGAATCCACGGAGCTGCGTTACGATCTATTACATAACATCATGTGATATTTCACGGTCGTGGCAAATACTGCAATCTGATTCGGTGTCTCAAAAGTAAGACTGTCGAGTCAGCACAACTAAGAAAAAGCTCAATAGTCACCAGACCATTTTCCTCTCCTCTTAGGGCGGGGTCTGGGCACCAGACTACTACGCCTAGCGCTAGATGTTGTGATAAAGACTTCCTGTCCAATACTGATACCAGTATATTGCACCTGTTGTTTGAAGTTGGACTACAAAAGAAATGAGTGTCTAAGTGCATTCCAATGCTGGGAAACATGCACTGTAAAAATAGTGGGAGGATAATCTTGGCCAGGATAACAAAGCCATAAGGTGTAGGTGTGATGAATACCTGTTCACATGTTACGGGTCAAAACTATGCACAAACGACAAACGAAACTGCATACCCATGTTCTGTACTGTTTTTAGAAGTCATGTGACTAGGAAAAAGCACAATGTGGGTTTACTCAGATGATTACTAAGTTGTGTAATGCACAAGCCGAAGTGCACACACAAGTCAGCGGATATAAAATGGTCGTCAAGAGATTTGTGTAAGCAATGTGTGTTTTGCTCACGTACTTGTGTGTGTGGCATGCAGGCTGAGACCGCAAGAGTCATTTGGAGTTTCCATGCCACCACTGACCCAACCTCTGAGGTCCTTACCTTCGCTGACATACACTCACATAAGGGAGCTCTCAGTCTCAACCTACTGGGAGGTCTCCCTGATGCAGCTCCTGATCCCCAGGACCTGGAGTATTTTGACATCAAAGTTGACAATGTTGGTTAAACCATAATTAATTTCATAGGAGATTATAATAGCTCTAACTTAAGCCATATGTTTTGATAGATTGTTATTCCTAAGAAAGACACCACCTACTGGTGCTCAGTCTCCAAAGTCCCGGACAATCTTCTTAACAAGACTGGATACATCACTAAGGTATTATAGCTATGTAGCAATTAACCGTGTGCGAAATGGATTCATCGCAGAATGTAAAAAAACAATTGCTCACGATTCTTTTATACAGGTCTGTAAAGTTTTGGCCTAATAGCCTGGTATAGCCTCTATTTATAGGCCTGTTGTACTCAAACATCCACAATGCCTTGTTTTTGAGTACAAAGATAATACAAAAATGTGTGCTCATCACTATTGTGCAGTTTGGACCGATAGTAACGGAAGGAAACGACGCCCACGTCCACCATCTTGTGGTGTACATTTGTTCCGGAATAAACGACTCTCACATTGGAAATGGAGGCGACTGCAAAGACGACGCATTTGAGTTTCAAGTTCGAAGGTGTCGCTCTGGGACTTTCATAGCTGCCTGGGCCGTGGGAGGAGAGGTGAGAGCAAAGACAGCTTTTTGGCACATGATTTGGCTGACACCTCGGGCAGGCAAACGAAGTGGCTTTGTAATGGTAATTATCTCTAAGCAATTGTCTATACTTCTGTTGTGGTTGGCATGAACGTTGGGGTGCTTGTCCACTAATGACGCAGGCTTGCCACATGTATGAATGCGAATGAAGTAGCTACGTATGTTAACCATGTGATGGTTTTGATGACATGCACAACAATCCCACAGGATTTTACTTATCCTGACAATGTGGCCTATCCGTTTGGAGGTGAAGGATACATCATGATGGAACTGCACTTTGACAATCCCAAGCAGATAGAAGGTGTGCAACCTAGGCAAATCAGAGTGTTACTATAGAGGCATCTCTAACATATTGTATTAAACTGAGAGCCACTCAAACACCCTGCTTACCTGTGTTAAGTGGCCAATTTAGTAAGGGTCTTACTCATGCAGGTACCAGAGATAGCTCGGGGATGAGACTGTGGTACACCACTACTCCGAGAGAGTACGATGCCGGAATATTTGAAGTTGGATACTTTATCGGCGTCAACCACGTTATTCCACCAAACTCTCAGAACTTTGTCACTCAATGCATTCTGCCGGATCAGTGCACCAATAAGGTAAGAGTGTCTAATGTGTAACCCCTGTTATCATCATGCTCTATGCACTCTCAAGTTCAAACCAGAGGATGGTATCCACGCCTTTGCAAACTTCTTTCACACACATCTTGTCGGTGAGTTAATTAGCAGTTTACAATAATTACACCCAGTTGTGATCGATTATTGCTGGCTCAGGTCATGGCCTGACTCTCCAACACATCCGCTACAACTCTGAATGTGATGTGTACGAGGAACTGGAGCCAATTGACAATAATCTTCAATATGATTTCAACTTTCAACAGATCAATCATCTGCGGCAGGAAGTGACCGTTAAACCTGTATGTTGCTTGTATCACACCACGTACAATACTTTATTATCTCTTTCGCCATCTAGGGTGATATCATTCAGTTGAAGTGCTTCTACAGGACTGTAGGGTTTGAAAATGTTACCTTTGTGAGGGAAAATTAAACTTTGATTTATACTTTAAAAATCTATCTTTCTGCTCTGTTGCAGGGAGGAGAAAGTACACATGAAGAAATGTGTGTTGCGTTCTTAGTCTACTACCCTAAACTGGAGGCTTCCTTCTCCTTCTCCTATATCAGCCAGCCGGATTATAATGAATTCTTGAGCAAATCATTGTGAGTTATAACTAGTGTTTTGTGTCATAATAATTATTATTAACCCTCGGCGCACATGCGCAGCGAGGGTTACAGTACTTGGTCTGTCAGTCTATCTGTCTGTCCACGTGAGTTCTCGCACTGCAGGCTACGAGGCGGCGTAACAGCGATCACCACACGTTCATCATCATCGCTACACACTGGCTCCATAAAAGCAACGGTGCGATTTTCGTGTATAACGACTAACTACTAACTGCGTCTGCGTTCAGAAAGTCAATTAGATAGGGAAAGCAAGTGATCAGCATCGCTCTGTGTAACTTGAAGGCACAAGAAGTCACAACGAAGGCGTGTATCGACATGCCTCCCGCGGCTATAGCTACACTTGATAGGTAGTCGGTGTCCAGACAGCTCCAAGCGAGCTAGCAGGTGGGGACACAGTCGAGTAATGCATAATAAAAGCCACAGGCCAGTCCATTAGTGGACTACTGAGCGAGTGCGCAGTTCGCCTAACAGAGGGCATTTTGACACGTAGTGCCTTTTCATGTGGACCCACACAACCTCCTAGGTTTGTGTGCAGTCTACATGAAAAATATGCAAATGAATAGAGACGTGTGTGCATGTCCTAATACACCCCTAGCATTGCCCTAAAAACGTCTCCTCTCACCCCCTTAATATTTAGCCCTGGTCGCAGATACTAAGCGGCAAGTTGAAAATTCAATGGTCTAAATGCTATTGACGGGAGAAAATGAAGGGACCGTTTCAAACAACGCTGATGATGGGGACTCACACATTTTTTGTGGAAACGTTAAGTTCCGTATTATTTATTACCAGTTTGTTCAGGCAACGTTAGATATTATTTCTTAGGGTATTGTATTCGGTGGAACCAGTTTTCCAGAGATTTGGATGTTCCTACATAGCTGCTGACCATTGCACAAACTCCACTCCTCCTACCTGCTGGGATAGGATCCTGGCCACTGGAAGTGGAGTGGTTCTGAGAGCCTCGTGGCTCTCCGGTCCTGCTCCTCCTCTCTCTACTGGCTGCGCACAACTTTGGATGAAATCTTACCTTTTCTCATGCCTTTGCTACCTCTGCTCTTTCTCTTCCTCTCTGTCTTAGTAAAAAAGTGCCCATTTTGTACGTAGTTGCTGGTGACAATTCTGATTTGAAAACCGCTCTCACATTATAAATGTCACTAATGATTTTACAGCACAATGTGGACATACCTCTTACTCTTCTCTACTAGGAGGAGTAAGTTGACAGAGTCAAACAAACCCAGGAATTGAAACTGTGCAGCAATACAATTACTGGTCCACCAAAGACAGACATTATTATCTGCAAGTTGTTTCGCCATTACACAAAGGTTTCAGAGTATGTACTATACTATTCAAGTGATAGGCAGAATTTCGTCTCAAAACGTTTAATTGTTCTAGGGGCTTCAAGCAAGCAAACTGTACAATGTAATAAGTGGTAGTAATTACCAACAGCCAACTGAGAAACAATCAAAATGTAACTCAGTCACTCTGCAGCCCTGCCTGCCAACATAACCTTAAAACAACACTTCAAGAGGCAGGCAATATTATGATTTACTGGGGGCTTACTTACTACAAAACCATCAGACATCGTGCTACTGGCTGCCACATTGGGATGATCTGACCTTATCTATGACTCCTAGCTAGACGCTCTGAGAGCTCTTTTATAATAATATATACCAGACTTTTGACCCAAGTTCCTTTTTGATGTTGATGCTCTCCATGTGCACTGAAGCATGCTGAACCTGCCCCTTTGTATTGCGGCACCGTGGAGGGTATCAACCGTTACACTTTAGTGGTGGGTATTAGGCGTTGCATAGTTGTTTACACGTTTCTGCAGTGGGGGTTTGCTAGACACTCCCTCAAAACGTGTGCCCGCATGCGCAAATCTTTGTATTCTAAGCGTTTTGTACGAAACCTGCAAATAAAAGATTTGCGCATGCGTCACACATTTGAATTTGCGAGCCATGGCTTCATACAAGAACAATCGTAACGTCCGCTACGTGACGATAGCGGTGTAGGATTGTCTTGATTGCCGAAAAGTATCCTTGTGCTTCTTTCTTAGTTTCTGGAAAATATCAAACTTCTTCCTCCCTTTCACGTTCTAGAACTTGTGGGATTCACTTTTAGCTTTATGTTTCCTGTGTAACTACACCCTTTTTCTTCTTGATTCTTCCATCACACCCCAATGGATATACACTCCTTTCCCATCACATTAATATACCATAGCCCTCTAATTCCTGAGGAGTCACCCCCCCCCCCCCCCCCCCCCCCCCCCCCCACCCAGCCCCCCGCAAACTCCACCCCCCACCCCCCAACCCGCCCCCCCCACCCCCCCGCCCTCCGCCCCCACCCCCCCCCCCCCCCAAACTCCCCCCCTCACCCGGCAACCGCCGGTCCACACCCGCCCCCCCCCCTCCCCCCCCCCCCCCCCACGCTCCCCCCCTCCACCCGCTCGTCCCCAACCCCCCCCCCGCCACCCAAGCCCCCCCGCCCCCCCCCGCCCCCCCCCCCCTCCTCCCCCCACCATCCCCGCCCCCCTCGGCCTTCCCCCCCCGCCTCCCAGCGTCCCGCCCTCCCCCCCCCCCCCCCCCCCACTCAACCCGCCACCCCCCGCCAACCCCCCCACCCCCCCCCCCCCCCTCACTTCCCCCTCCGCCCCCCGCTCTCCCCGGCCCCACCTCCACCCCGCCCTCCCCCCCCCCCCCCCCTCCCCACGCCCCCCCCCACCCCCCTCCCCCCCCCCCTCCCCCCCCCCCCTCCCTCGCCGGCCCCACTCCCCAAACCCCCACCCGCTAGCGGCCCACCCCAGCCCCCCCCCCACCCCCCCCCCCCGCTACTCGGGGGCCGCCCCCCCACACCCCCCCCCCCCCGCACCGCACTCCCCCCCCTCCCCCTCCCCTCACCCCCCCCCTTACCCGACACCCCGGCCTCCCGCCCCCCCCTCCCCGCCCCCCCCCCCCGCCCCCCCCCCCCCCCGCGCCTCCCCTCACCCCCCTCGACCGCCCCCGCCCGCGCGGCATCCCCCCCGGCCCCGGGCCCCCGCTCCCTCACCAGCTCCCCCCCCCCCACCCCCCGCCTCGGCCCCCCCCCCCCCGCCCTCTCCCCACATAGACCCCCCCCCCACCACCCACCCCCCCCCCCCCCCCTCCCCCCTCACCCGCCCCTTCCACCACCCCTCATCCCCGCCCCCCCGTCATTTTTTAAGAGGCTCTTTGCCTTCACAACTAAATTCCCCTTCTTCTGGACCTAACTCATGCCTAACAAATGCCAATTCACAACTGCTGCACTTGACTTGAACTTATGCTTTAACATTATGCCTATGTCTCACTTGAACTTGGTTTCACCTCCCATGGTCATATAGTTTCACAATGCTGAATCCTGCGTTGTGAAAGGAGTCTAATAAAAAGTCACACCAACAAAAAATGCCCCTGAGACCGCAGACCTAGTGCCTGTCCATAAGTATTTAGCGTTGGTAAACAATTAGACCAACTCTGGATCCACCGACAATGAAAATGTCGTCCTCTCCAATATATCTTCTGAGAATATCAACACACAAAATCTGCACATAGTCTATGCGCAGTGCGTCAATGTCCGCGTCGCAAGTTTCGCGTAATATATACACCACTGCATGGTCGAGCCCCATCTGCAGAATAGGCGAAATGCGATCCTTCCGTTCTGGGTTTGCGCGCTGAGTGTTGCCGTGTGCGCGGCCCACGATGCTCTCCAGCTACCCGTTCAAATTACTCTGACATGCGAAAACGGAGGTCTCTAACGAACTCTACGGAACTTCGACAATGCAAAGGAAACCATTTCTTTTCGCCGTCGCCGTCCAACAACGGGCTGGGTTGGGCCTTGGAGCCTCTCACCCCCACGACAAATGCCAAACTCTTACGTATCATTGGATGTGTTCACTGTACGGCGGAGAGCCCCATGTGCCATGTGAGTGTATCCTAGCTGGTTAAACAGAACTGAATTTGTCATGTTCATTTGTTCTACACAGGACCGTTTTTGCAAGAGAGTCCCCCTCCCCAATAGACGAGCAACAAGACTGGATTGCTGAAAGGTGGAGAGGAAGAGAATGGCTTCACTATCCTTGAGTTCAGTCTTAATATGTCACTTGGATGACTTTGACCTCCCTATCACGGTATATAAAAAAGACAGAGAGAATGGCAAAAGCAAGCT